AGAGAGAGAGAGAGAGAGAGAGAGAGAGAGAGAGAGAGAGAGAGAGTTGTCTAGCTTCATTGACGCTATCCGGCTGCAATGACCCATTCCTCATCGTGATACTGTGTGGTTTTCCTCAAGCACAAACGACAAGAAACAGTTATGTGCTGGATCTAGCGGTGGGCGATTAGATGTATGAGCATTCTGAGCCATGCCGGCATGGATCTATTCCCTATGTTTATGCATGTTCATCGCTGTTGCAGAACGTCCTCTAAACACTAGTAGAGGGCAGCTGCTTCTGTTCTGTTCTGTGAGCACAACGGACAAAAAGTATGGGGGCTATTCTACATGTGCGTGACTATCACATGATTGCGTCGCGCTCGTGGATTGTCTTTTTCCAGGCTGACATTCCTGGCGGAGCTGGCTCTACTCATGCTCGTTCTTGTTAACATAGGAAAGGAGAGGATGGAGCTCAGACGACAGGTGCCCACGCGCGAGGTTGCCTGCTTCATGTCTTACAACTGCAAGCCCCAACTTATCCGTCTAGAGCTTGTTTTATTGGGTCAGGACTCTTCGCAGACGCCTCCATTTGCTCACACATCTTCATTACCTCCCTGTCCCCCATTGTCTCCTTCTCCGCCTCCCTCCCGCGTTCTTCTGTCTTGCCTGATGCTTTCCGTACGTAATGCACACCCAGGGGCCGTACTACTTCCTCGCGGTGACCAATCACTTGGACATCGTACTCATCGTTGGGCACGGGATATTGATTTACTTGATCGTCGCAAAGGGCACCGCCGTCGCAGACCTGGACCTGGTTGACCAAACAACTGATATCAGGCACGCTGATCCTGGAATCGTGGATTTGTCACGACCAACTTTCCCACCTACCGGCCCCTAAGATGAGATGGAAGGCCGCGTTTTCTTATGTCTCGCGAGAAACTCGCGCTGCTCGATACTTTCTGCGCCCAGGGTAGACTACGCATCGATATCTTTCATTCATGATACGATGAACCAACGTGTACCCACTGTTGTTTTTAACCATAATCATCGTTCGTGGGCAGCCGAGCTACCCCTAACGACTGTGGTGTGAACGCACAGATCGAGCTACACATATCTTAACGCAGATGTCGCACACCAGAAAAATATTACGAAATTCTTGGTGGGTTGCTCCTGTAGAGGAAAATCGTAGAAGAAGAACTTCAAATACGCCAATGCGCTTATGGTCAGCCTTTCATGGCGGTACGCTCTCCAATCCTTCAGGGTTTTGGCTGATTTGGTGGCCGTGGAGAGACAGTGCGTCGCGACCATGGTTATACTTGTGTGGGTGAAGCTAATGGATCCCCTGCAGGGCGTGTTTCAGGATTTCTTCCTCCTCGTCAAGATGATCGCGCTCATGATAGGTATCGTAGGTGTCCCTGGTTGTTGATGGATGTGGTGAGGTGCTCCAAGGTCGTCAAGCGTGTCCAAAGGAGTCGACGTGTTGTGTTTGTATGACAATCGCACAAAGGTTTTGGTGAATTGCGGAAACACGACCGAGTGACCAAGGTTCTAGATGAAGGCGTGCCGGTTGTGTGCGGTCCGACCATGTCAGATATTTGCATCTTCTCATCAATGCGGTTGCAGATATGCTTTCTTTAAAAGAGCTTGTGGCGGCAAGTGTTGCGGGATGAGATTCCAACCTGCCGTAGAGCTTCGTGGTGCATCCCATGGCAATACCAACGGTTTCCCGTGCCGAACACCAGGCAGCGTTTCATGTTCCCGAACCTCCATGTGCGCACATCGACCCAATATTCCAGGGAAACTGGTGAGAAGCTTCCTGCCGTTGCTCGCAATAATCTACGTGGCGTGGGCTTTCGCCCGGTGAGCGTTAAATTCCATTGTTGGTGTTTCACCTGCTATTTCCAGGCAGCAAATGAACTCGTCACGACGAAGATTCTGTCCGCGATTACGACGTTTATGACTGCAGGAAATGTCGATGTATCTGCTTTCTCGTACGCGTCCTTGACCATATGTTTTCAGAGGCACGAGCTTTGAGCGCACTCAGAAGGGATGGTCCAGAACATTGGGATGCCCTATGCGACCAAGTCAAGGATAGAGTGGGAGGAGCTTGCCGTTGTTGATGTTGTTTAGTCTGGGCTCATCATTTTGTTTCTTCCCCTCTTGATATGTTGTGCTTGTTACTTTGTTCTCAGGTACACCCTGCTCGGGGAGCTGGAGTTGTCGATGAAGAGCATATCTTCGGCAGTGGCCAATCAGTACCCCGAGACTCTGGGAGAAATTACCTTCGACAATATTCGCGCGGAGAACCTCTACCAGTCATGGAGGTGGGTTGGACTATCTGAAACTTGGCAACGATCAACACTGTAGCCGCATGTCGAAAGTGATGTCGTTGACGCTCACGGCCGTTGAGGAAGGACGGCACCAGAATCTTATCAGCATGGTAAACCAAGCTAGAAACACTGCCTGTTCTGCTGAATGCGGGTACCACCCCAACAAAAACATCATTACATGTAGTCCCGTAGACCTCGTCCTTGTTTTCGGCCTTGCTTGCATCGTTCGTGGCAATGGCGAATTCTTGCTGTGGTGTGTTAGCCGCTACAGACTTATTCCAAAGGGCAACGTTGTTCCCGTGCTACCGAATCTGTGAGCGTACGCATCATGCGCGAGATTGCCATCGTGACGACACGATGCTACCAATGCCTAACAACGACAGAATGTTCCACCAGGTACTCCTTCACAGCCTTATTCACGGTGCTGGTGGTGGTGATCATGCTCAACCTGCTAGTGTCGCTTCTCAACGACCTGTACGAGGAGCTCAAAAGCCTCGCAACGGCAGATTGGTGCAGGGCGCAGGTGCGACGTGGCCCCAGGTAGAAATCTGGTTGGCTTTTGGCATCACATGTTGGGGCGAAAAATCACTGGAAGACTTGGATGATACTTTTTTTGCAACTACGACGAATGCTTTTTTCGTTTGCCGTCGCCCACCCGGCACCCGAATAGCAATTTTATTAGGGGTGATATATCATAATTCCTGGTCATGACCGTTTTGGTCTCGTTAGATGCAGATGGCATGAGGGACGTCGTGATGTGTCCATACTCTGTTGCAGTATGCTCACCTTGTTCTAGATATGATAAGCAACCCTTAATGTTGACGCCGTATTTTGGGGTGTATCGCCATACATTTGCTTTTCAGGAAGTTCAGCCGAACACAGAACCCACAGTACGTGCGCGCATAGTGCTGAAGGACTTCCTTGACAGGCGATTCAGTGCCTAGACTTCTTGACCTTGACGTTTGTATCGCTCGGTGCAACCTACTTCCTGTGCTTGGCACTTGGGCAGGCAACGGCTATATACATGAACGCCCGGTGGCACAGTCAGCAGCAGCAACAGCAACGCCTTCACCAGCGCAATAAACAACGCGGGAGAAACAGCACGTCTCGCCGTGATGGCCTTCGGTGGTGTCCAAAGTTCCCTTCCTTATCGCGCTGGCTTGCGGGTCTGGATAGTCACCCCGCTGGCGCTGGACCGACAACACATCAAGCAGCATCAGGCGATTCTGAACGGCCATCGAGCGAAGGGGTGAGAACCAAAGTAGGTGACCGATCATCGTGGGTCTCATTTCTGTCGGCCTGGGATTCAGGGCAAACAGCTGTACCAAGCTACGAATGCAGTGTCTCTGGATCCACCAGAAGAAATTCACTCAAACGTGTTTTTGCTTTCTTTCTGACCGATCCATGCATTAGTCTACGCACTGAACCAACGTGCCCTTGTTAACAGAGTAGCTGCGATTCATGGTCACAGGCAAACGTTCCTGGCATTGCTGTGCAAAAGTGCTGGAGTACAATGCGGAAGTCGCAATTCACCGATGCCAAAACTCACGACCTATAGCCATCGAAGGCTATGAAGTTATATGAGAGAGCCCGGGTAGGAAAGGAACTAACTTCATGATGTTGTTGGTTTGCTTTGATCCGAACACCACAGGACAAGGGAATTGAGCAAATGCAGGCCCGCCGGTTGCTACGCCTGAAAGAAAAAGCGGCGACTTTGGGGCGAGATCACCTCGAGCTGGCGTCGAGGGCGGAAGGGGTGGAAGCTGCTGCGGTTCTCGCGTCCATCACCGACGCTCTTGACGTTTGGGACAAACACTCGCTCCACGCCGCCGACAAGGTGACGCGCTCACTGCATTGTAGGAGTAGACAGTTGCTTTGAACGCAAACGGCAAGTCATGCTGTAGTTATCGGCGGCTGCTGCCTACCTAGGTATGTAGTTTGAAGCTTTTTGTTTCAACGTGTTTGTTGATTCTTCCGTCTATCGAATGCGTTTCTAGCGCAAAGTCACCACCGTCAAGGACCCCCTTTCTTGCATCAGCCAAACTTGTCACACAGCTCCTTCGTGAACCGTACCACTTAAGAGTTTTCGGGGCTTTACCAATCCCTTCGGGTAGGTAACTCCTCCCTGTCCTTTGCATGTACCGCACCGAAGGCCCTCTTGAACACCTTTACGAAACCCTTTCGGCAGGGGGAAACGTCCCCTCTTCCCCCCGTCGAGGCTCTCCGAAAGCTCCGTCAGCTGCTGATGAACGGCGAAGAAAGGGGCAACAGCGGTGGCAAGAACCAACCCCCTCACGTCTGCCGAACGCTGTTGCGGGCAAACATTTTGATGTCCCTCGCGGGCATTATCAGTGCGGACGGGAGGAGAACGCACGCCGGGCAATCCCCTGCCCATTTCCCAGGGCGACGGTTCTCAGCTTCAGCTCAGGTTTGTAGCGACTACATGAAAAGGTCGTCCGGCCACTGTTGTCGCTGTCGCGACCTTGAGACTTCAATCGACCGTACAGTGCAAGGCAAGGGGCAGGAGTCACAAGCTTCTTTGGATTCCGCTGTACACCGCTGTGCACTTTTCGTTTGGGTGGGTGTCTTCCTGGGTCCGTCTCACGTTCTTCGTCTTGTAGGTACCTGGTCAGATACGACAAACAGACGTAGTCCGGCCTGACAAACCGGCCTGTTAGATATATTTCTATTTTCGATATTGTCGGTGTCACAAGACATCAGACGTTGTTCATTGTGCCATCTCATTCATTCCGGACGTCGGTCTGTTACACCTTTCGGTGCAATTTCTGGACGTACCAGAAGGGGTCACACAGGAGTAAGCCCCCTCCACAGCCCAAATTTGTTGTGCAATATTTTCACGCATGCGTGTTGTGCTACACGTGGTTGAGTCCGGAGGGCCTTGACGCGAATACCTACACACTTTGAAGTCGAAGCACCGTGTGTCACGCTACATTCGCGTAGTCGATCGGACTCTTGAGGAAGTAATCTGGTTGTCAACCATTTCGAGAATGATAGACTAACGTATTGACCGTATATAAAGGTGTACACAAAACCTATGGAGTTCCGTTCAAGGTTGCATCGAGGTTCTTTTCATGGCCTTCTCGCTTAGCAAGAAGGTTTTCGCAATCTTTGTCGTAGAAGATGAGGCCGAGAATCTCGTCCCAAGGGTAAACTTGACACGTCGTTGTTAGAAATAAACGTCGCCCGTAGTCGAGCCACACCCACGATACACCGGCGCACCCGGCATGGTCTTGGTAGCGTCCTTGTGTACTGTCGCACGTCTGATGGTACGGTGACATGTCGCGGATAAGTTCTGACAGCCCGTGCTCCTGCCCGAGGAACATTTCAAGATAATCATGCTCGTGGCAGTCAGGTGGCGCTGCGCACACCTTGTGCCCAGCGCATATCTCAATCGGTCAAACCGGCCACCCTCGTCGCTCGTTGCCTGGCCGACCTCTGTCTAACGTTTCTCTCCTGTTCTTCGAAAGCCTCACTGGACTTCTCCCAGCTTGTCCGGAGTGGGGGAGGCACTTCAGAGCTCGATGGCCAGGATGCGGCAGTGGGTCTCGAGCCTCACGGGGTCTCTGACTTCTTCGGGGACAGAACGACGACAAAGCTGGAATGAAGCCAGGTACCGATAACAGAGAATTTTTCGGTGGCATTTCAGATTTTGAAGCGGATTTCGCCCAATATTCCAGAGGGAATGGGTCGTCATTCGTTCTTGGCAACCAGCTTGTCCAACACGTGCCAACCCACGGATAATACCAACCTACAATTGTTCTGTCAACAGCTCAAATGGCACTTTGTCCACACAAAACAGGTGCAAATAGTCAAGAAGAATCCTTCGGGTAATAACTCAAGTGCTGGAAGCCCAAATGGGAACAATTCAGGAAGTGTCTGGTTCCCGCACCGTAGTCGTCACTATGCTCCGCTGTGTGAAACGCGCGTTGGAAACCTCGGTCTATCATGCTTGTGTGGGTACGGTGTGTGATACCAGATATACTGTTGTGTTGCCTGTGTGCCTCTTCTCGACCTCCGACTTGGTGTAGACATATCTCCCCAAGCCGCCTGTCCCCTTGTTGGTAAATGTCTGCATAGTCCAGTCCTGGAAAAAGTTGCTGACTTGGCTTTAGCGTGGAAAGAGTCTCCAGTGCATTTGGGGACACTTTTCTGTCTAAATCCAGGTGAGCGTTCGTCCCTCGGGACCGTACAGCCTCTCCCGATGAGCGAACGCGATACTTTTCTGGACCTACAACCTCTAACTAGTTGAGTGTTTTAAGGGTTATCAAAGTCCTTCGACCTACAGTGCGACTTTCTACTTTGTTTTCCCTTCCGCCACGGCGGTCATTGCTACAGTGTTTCCTCACCAGAAATGCTCGCGTCATCGTCGATCCCTCCTTTCCCCCGCGCACGCGGCACCCGCCCCACCAACCATTTCTGTTCCAAGGAAATTGTCGATAAAAATAGCTCAAGTACTTGTGGAGTTCCCGCTTTCCCCGGCGGCTGCTGATGGAGACTCTTTCGCAGCGGCCGGCCAGGAGAACAACACGGCGCACCCGAAAGTGGAGCAGGTGAGGGCGGCACGATTCGGAGGCCCGATGAATGGCCGCCCTGGCCACCACCACTACTGCGACCAAGGGGCAGCGGCCAATACGAACACTGCAACGAGGGCACCGGTAGCACCGGGAGGAACCACAAATCGGACAACTTCCAAAGTTCAGCAACGAAATAGGAACAGCAGTGGGGCGTGTTCGTCTCCCGCGGGGCCCGACAACGGCTATGGTGGTTGGTGGGGGGAGGGCGACAAGGTGCTTCGGACTATGGGAGGGGGTTTTCTAACCATAGCGTGTCTCTCCACGCTGAGTCGGGCAATTTCGTCGCCTGCAACAAGACCGGTGGCCGGCACGCCGCCAACACCACACGGGTCGGGAACCTTCACAAACCACCCCCACAAGTCGCCACACCACCACAACAACGACGTCAAGGACGTCTTCGGGCAGTATGAAGTATCCCAGGAGGTGTCTGATCTGCTGTTGCTCTTGGCAGCTCTCTTTCGGTTGGGGTCACCACCGTCTCAGGTATGTTCGTGAAGTTGATGCCCCTCTCTCTGTAATTCCTCGATCATTCCTTTGCTCTCCGTCCCGCTAACCCCTCTGGTTTCTCGCATTGTTCGCCGTTCTCCACTGTGTCACTTTTGCGCCGACGCTGTCGATCCTCCCCCGCAAAAAGTGCTCGTGCTATTCTCGCTCTATGCTGCCGCAACATGGGTAGTGTTTGCTTGGCTTTTGAAAAAATGTCTCATGCAATATCCCTCATCCCGTGAGCGTTGCGTTGTTCGTTTTCCGTACTTTCAAGGTGCCTGGCGGGATTTTGGCTACACTCGGAAGGGTGCCATCCTCATCACCAACAACGGCACCAGCACCAGGAGGAGGAGCAGCCAACGCCGTTCTTCCCCCGACGGTGACCGAGGTAGAGGCCGCGCTCGCGGCCGGAACGGCTACCGCCTCGCGAAGAAGGAGGTCCTCGTCCGCCATCACTCCGCCCCTGACCCGTCCAGCACAGCAGGACCGCTCCAGATCCGTTCGCACCGGCGGGGTTATGGGAAGGTTCGGAGGGAAGGAAGAGGGGGTAACACGACGTGGGGGCAACAGCGCCAAGCAAGACCCAGAATCCACCCAGAACCACTCCGAGCGAAGTGTGATCTTCCAGGGGTTGGGAAACGTAGGAGGAGAGGCGGGGTTGCGTTCAGCGCACACGGCGCGACCACGACAGCCTCGAAGAAATAGCATGCGAGCGGCAATCGAGACACCGCCTTTGACGCTTTCCTCGTTTCCGGGTAGAGGTGGCGGTAGGGGGCCGGACCCAGCAACATCGGCGGTGCCCATGTCATCCTCCCTGCTGCCGTCTGACAAGGCGCCCTCGGAGAGGATGGTTGTGTCGGAACCCCGCTGTAAAAACTCCCGCGAAGGGATGCGGCCCAGCAACGCCAACAGCAATCGCGGCAGCTTCGCGAATTCTCCTCGGCTAGAGCAAACGCCTCAGCGATACTCCGGGGCGCCCTCTCGCGTGGGCGTCGCTGCTCGCGAAGGCCAAGCCCGGCGTAGTGGTATTCATCGTGTATCGGACGACCTACACGTAACGAGCCGCCAGTCGATGGCGACGGCAGAAGAAAGGCGCATCCCGGCAGAGGCGTTCGAAATGTGCGGAGGCGGAAATTTCGCCGTATATCTCGCCGTACGCTGCAAAAGTCTCAACTGTGAGAGCCGCCGTAATGAATGCGGCTTCGAAACTCTCGCCCATTTGGCCCTGAGGGAGGCCCACCCGTTCCTTCTCTCCTCTTCATTCTACCGGCGGCCTGGAGGGGAAAGTGTGGGCAAAGGGGGCGGAGCGAACAAGCGTCAGGGGTGGAAGGGGCCCGTCGAGGTAGCAAGGTCGCGGATGAACGTGGCATGGTGGACAACAGGCGAGTGGATACGAAAGAGGGAAACATGAACGTTGAAGCGGGGAATGGGGAGTATTCCCCATCAGTGTGACTATTGCCCTTCCCGCGACCCTCTGCAAGGGGAACGGATGTTGATTTGCGACTGACTTGCCATTGCCAATGACGCTTGATTGGAGCTTCTCCTGACGTTCTCGACGCTGTCTCTTCTTGCATGTGCTTCTTCGATCAAACCTTTCTGCTAGTGACATCCGTTTCCTTTGTTTGCTCTTGTGGCCACATTGCCCCCCTTGGAGCGTTGGCCGTCTCCTCCAACACCTACAAATAGTACGAAGCATATCGACGCTTCGTCCCTTTTCCTCCTGATCTCCTCGTAGCGATCAACCTCTCCTGGCTATTCGGCTCACAAGATTTCAGTACATACACAAAGTGCAATGAGTCTTCAGATTTAAGAAGCGCCTGCATCTTACAGGAATGGTCCAATACTGCAAGGATCAGTCAACCACACCGAAAATATTGCTCCTGAATATCGTTCATTTAAGAGACACGAGAAACGATACGTCAAACCGCACGGAACACATTGATAGGGTATTTTTTTTCCTTCCGCCGCCGCTTCCTGCAAGGAAACAGGTCAGGAAGGGCCTCCCTGTGGAAATGGTGGTCCCGTCGGGGATACGAGTCCTACCATGCACTCGAATGCCCTCTTCGGTTCAGCAAGCGATGAAGATGGAGTTGGTGCAGTAGATATATCTACAGTCGCGGTGGCGTGGAGGGCACAACACCTGCCGATCCTATTGACAGAGATAATTAGGGATTGCTTCATGACGCAGGTGGGTACCAGCTGCTGTGTTTGTGTATTACTCGTGTTGTTTCGACGCGTTTTCCACATGTTTGAACAGATTGAGCTTGGCTGCTTCTATCGAAAACCAGCAAGATCGACATGGAATTTGCCATCGGGGACTCGAAAGTAACCATCCCGTCTGCTTCTCATAGCGCACCCCTAAAACATGGATGGACGGTCTCTTCTCGGCTTGCCCCTTATGATTCATGAGTCCCCAGCGCACGGCATTACACCATTGCACGGCTTGATGTGACATAAATTCGTACGCAATCTCCCATTGAAGCTGACGACGAGGTGAGACAGCGAACAGGGATTCCTCGACGTAACGCTATGTGTCCATTCAGGTTAGGACCCTGCTGGAAGGTAACACCCCCGGCCGATCCCAAACTGGCGACGAAAGTGCTGCGGCGAGCGGGCTCGAGGGGTCGAGCACCAGGATCGATGAGATGACCGAGTCTTCGTCTCATAGAAGCTTGTCGCGGCGCACGAGTATTGTCGTTTCGAGCTTGATTGGGCGCGGGAGCAGTCCTACTTCACGCATTGATGCACGCCTTGGCCAGGTAATCCTGCGTCTTGGGAGCGGGTATTCAACCGTCTTGTGCAGCAGTATTTTGCCGCGGAACAGCATGGAAGTGCACACATTTTGGCATTCACAGTGATCATTTGTTGATGCTGTACCTTTTGAGGAACCACTTCCTATCTCCGGTCATGAATATTTCAGCCTTCGATGAAAGATTTGTCCCCCATGCCTTCTGCTCCAACAGCCCCGCTCTAGCTCAGGAAGAAATGTCGCCGCGTCAATGCCTTGGGGTGATAACTTTTGCCCCCTAGCTTCTTTCGCATCACTTGTTGTCCTCTCGAGTCAAGACGAATATCGAACATCTGACACACCCGGTGTCTCTTCGCTTGTTACAAGCGATGGAGTCACGAAGAGCAATTTAACCGCTTTCTCGTTCCTCCTCCCTATTCTAATTTTCGCTTTATACAACAGCGCCGCGAAGACCTCACGGCTTCTTCACTGAAAAAAACACATTTTTTCCTGCTTCGCCGTACTTCGAAAGGTATGTCGCACTGATTTCTCTTCCCGCCCACCCAACCCCCTTCGATGTTGCTGCAGGTATCGCATCGGTCAAGCTGCGTGAGAATGGGCGCCGCGCTGGCGTACCAAGTGTCCGTCGGTGGCGTGTTTCTCGGCGGGGTTGGCTGCCCGTCAGATAGTGATGGATCCAAGGCGCTGGTAGACGCTGGGATGGTGGTTCTGCTTATGAGAGTTGCGGCGGTGGCGGAGGCGGCGGCGAAACCGCCGTCGCTGATGTCGTCGGGGACGAATGCGGCTGAAAGAGGTAGGTGATCACAGGTAGTTAGGGCTGTGTCGGTGAGAGACAGAAACTGAAAAGGTGTTGTTTCACAGGCACATCCTTTGCCCGTTCCCGATCTGATACTTCCGCTGCAACGAGGGGTGAGGCTGCAGAATGTTTCCGAGGTCTATTTCTATGATGTCTCCTCCAGAGTAATCCTGTTCCGTACGGTGTTCTTGGTGAAGAGCAAACTTTTCTAACTCGGTGTGTTGTCCAGGTGGACGGTTGCCTGTATCCCGGGTTCATAAAACGGAAAGTCTGGGGAAATTAAATGAAACCATAGTGATGATCGAACGAAGGGCCAGCTAGGGTCATTAGACAACACGGAGGTTTTTGGCAAACCGCTGAAATGACAAACAATTGTTTGTCTGTCCGGTTGAAATGACACGACGGGTTTGGCCATTCTTGGCTGAATTTTGTCCATTTCGTGAGGGACATATGCATTGAGGGGAGATGAACATGCGACAAATCTGTCTCCGACGAGGCGAAGCTTGTCTCCCCACAGGGCGTAAGGTAGTCGAAGGAGTACGAATATCCCATAGAATCAACGTTGATTGCTTTATTACGATGAAATTTAGAAGCAATGCTCTGAATTAAATCAACCACATCCGGCTCATAATGTGGCCAATTCGGCTTGAGCGAGGCAATGAGAAGCTTCCCCATTTATCACAGGGCCTTCAGCTCGAGTCCTGGCCTTGGCATGCTTAACGGCCATCATCACGAAATGCAGGATCGACGACGACACGGCCGCCACGCCTGTAAGGAGCTTGGATGCCGAGGTGAGGTTGGCGAAGCACGTTTTCTCTGAGCGTACAACTTGGGCTTTGTCTCCGAACAGTTGGCTCCCGTGCTGCGCGTGGTCCAGCATTACTTTCTCAGCAATGTTTCGAGCCAGATTGAATACTTTGCTCTGTGTGCAGTCGCCCGTTGGTCCCTGTGCAAGTAACGAATGTTGAAGCAAAGGGTCAGCTCGCTAAAACGAAGAGGGCATGAGCCATTCCTGTACTTGAATTCTCATCGCCTACTCACCGATGATATCTTCGGCGGGAACACCCAGACCTAGCTTTCCAAGGAATGAATACCCAAGCTTTCCGCTTGTCTGCCCCAACTCGACGGGTGTGCCCGACGTCCATTCCTGCTGCAGGGCAAGCGGGTGCCATCATGTCGAAGCGTACGGTGGAGTGCGCTGGAAATAGGCCGACTGTTATGCTCAGGGCCTCTGTCCTACATGCTTCATTTTTCTGCAAACCCCATTCAGCGAATCACGAACCTCTTATCCAGCCCACCCCGGTGCCTTTCAACATTGACTGTTCTCCTGAATCCCATCGTGGACGATCAGGCCGAGGGTGCTCGCTCATACGAACGCGATGGCCTACTCTGGGGTTGGGATGGCGGTCAAGGGTCAGGCCCGGTGCTATTGTTAACCCAGGCAAGAAAACGACTAGAGTGAATATCGGAACAGTTTGTGTAAGCGATACAACCAAGCAGGACCTCATCCACGATGACATGTATCAGAAGGCCGCAACGACTACTCGGTCGAAATCACCGCGGAAACCTCACGTTCCCCCGCCGATACGTTTCCGGTTAAAACCTCAGCGACATATCAGCTCTTGTTTTTGTCTGTGCAGTAGGCGTTTGCACGAAAACAATTGGGGCAATATCATACCTCTTCTGGTTCGGCCCGATAAAAATAGTTCACTCGAAAGCCAATCTGTAACAGGATTATGATTAAGGGAGCCACTGCAAATGAATCAAAACCTCAACAACCATGTCCACGCTCCAAGGAGAGTCATAGCCCTTTAGATTTCACTCGACAAGCCAATCTCGCTTCACACCCAGGAGGTGTGGAAATGGGCATCGCAAAATCACTGTAAGCCCAACGCAACGCAAGTTAAAACAAGCTGAACATCGTGTAAGACGCAAGAACTCTACTCTATTCTGAGACAGAATCTCCACGCCGCCTACCCCCTCTCTGCTGCATTCTCGCAAGGGCGATCAGGCAACACAGATGACCTCCTAACACGGCCAATTGTTGTACCGCAAACGATCCGAGACAGAATGACGCCGAAACTGGTTGTAGCTTTACACACGAATTCTGGCCAAACAGGTCGATGAGGATGGAGCACGCCCCGGGGCAGAAATACATGGAGACAGCAACAGAGGAAGCAGGACTAAACCAACAACCAGACCAGACCAAACCGAAGGGAATCGAAGCCAACGACAAACAAGAAAACTAGCACATTTCTATTCACTCTCCGCCCGCCAACCCCGCCCGTCCCGTCTCCGCGTTTCCTCTCTTCGGGTGATGGCCAGCACCTTTTTTTCCACCCGATTTAGCAACCGTACGGTGCCAGCCTCCCCTTCGTTCTTGCGTCACAACGCCATGAGCCCCGTGTACTCTTTTTCCTTGTGAAGGAAAAGCAATTAATCACATAACATCAACTTATGCATACCACTTACCTCTTTTCCCCCATCTCCTCAACTCAGCTTCTCCAACCGCCCACTTGTTTCCGTCACGATACCAACCTTTCAGGCCATGGAGCTCGCGTGTCTTTTCATGGACATCATGCTAGAAGGTGAAAGAAGCTACTTCATGCGCTGGTAGTAGACGGCACTAACCACGTGATGCTTGAAGTGGGTCCCACGACACAACATACCCGCTACCCGGGACGTGAACACCGGTGGAGATGTTCAAGGCTGCCAGACAAACAAGACACATACTTGTACAACATTAAAAGCACATGCCATCCCTACGGCATGCTACAAACACCCGTTTCCGTTATTTACGTACATTCGCTCTGTGACCGCTCTGGAACCGGATTTACCCGGATTTCACACCAATGCGAAAAAACATTCTGCGACAATACCTTACGAAAGGTGGACTAATTACCGCAAGGTGGACCTGTTTTCTTCGAGAATATGGTAATGTTGAGTCTATAATCCAAGCCAAGGTTGCTTGGTTTGAACGAACGAGTCCGGCGTGGAAGATAATTGGGGTTTTGGCAACAACAGAAGGATTTTGTCTTCAGCGTACGGTTGCTGTTGCAATTTTATTCACGGCAGATCTGTTCCCATGTTTGTGAGCCTTTCGAGGCGGTATTTCTTCCGTCAGGCTCAGAACCGTGGCACCTTAATCGTCGTTGATGTTCAGATTTACGGCACTTCAGCACGGTGTGTCTCATGTCACACCCAATCCCTGTTCCCCCAGGACTGGCCTTCGGCGAAGAAGCCGGCGCGGAGGGAGACGAGGGTGGAGAATTGGCAGAAAGGTCCATCACGGGCCTTCATCTCCTGCTCAGGTGGGTTTTCGCTCCCAACAGTGTGTGTCAGGTTCTTGACACGGATCGGTTTTAGTCGATTATTTCTAAGCTGCCAAACGCCTTCATCGGCAGTAGTAGAACCTATACGAATCTGTTTCACCAGGCCATAGACGCGAACACTTCGAGACCGTCTGGAGTGCTGAGGTCACAAAAGTGGTGACGAGAGTTTTTCCTCTCCAAAGCAGGAAACAAGTGGTGTTGCTGGAAGAGCTTGAGAACAAGTTTCTTCCCTGACTAGAATGCGACTCTATGCGCGGAAGATCATCGCTGATAATACCGCTCTCGAGGTCACCCTAGCGCTGAGTACCATGGCATGCTGCAAGGGTGATTTTTCTCCGAAAGTATCTGCGCCCGAAGAATGTCTCGGCTAATCGTTTTTCCCGTGGAACGCTGGCTACTACAAAAGACGGCCAGAGTTGGCGTCCGCGAATGCTTGATTTCTGTTTCCCCGGAAGCTGTTTCGAAAATGGGTGGCGTCCATCCCTTACGTGGCTCATGTGTGCGCGAAATACCAGGGCTTGCGAGGTTCATGACTGGGAGCTTACCATGGCCGGTGTCAATGTGGAGGGGGCCTCGGAAGGAGCGCACGGTGTCATGGTGGATGCTATCCGCTGCCACAGGTCGGTAGACGGGAAAGCATGGTGGGCATCAAGGAGATTCCTCCGCCGCCGTTGCAGCGCAACTAAGGTTACACGCGTAGGACAAAAAAATGACCTGGAGCTCATCTGCGCCCGTCCGTTCGTCCATGGGCCAGTGTAGGCGGGCAGCCTGCTCCTGCCTGATGCTCCTTCGTAAAAAATCGTGTGCTGTTGGCCGTGTTCCCGCCCGATCACCCCGGCCCACTTCGAAGCCCAAAGATTCCTGCCGATTACGACGGATCCGCTCTCAAGCAGCGCTAGCTCACAAGCTGGGATCTACTCCACAAACCAACGACGATTACATGATGATTGCCCCCGTTTGTGCATACGCGGTCTCCAACAGTGTCACATCTCCTGAAAAGAAACATTAAATCGTGTCCCGCGCCAACACGTTGTTATTTCGATCAGTCTTGACCTGTTGCTGTTGTGTAATTAGGCACACAGAACGGCGCCTTCATTTTTTCCTGGAAGCTTGTTGAGATGCCTTTAGCTGGGGACCGCCGAAGGCATCATTGTCAACACCGTAACCATCGTACATGTGCAGCATTGGTAGAACTCTATACTACTCCTCGTATGTTTGTCTGTTATTCTGATCCTCACTCGTCCGACATGTGTGTTTCCATCCTCCACCCATCCCTCAAACACAATGAATCAACGTCAACACGCCGGAGCAGGGGATACCCAAGCCTCGAATTGATGGCAGAAGGAACGAAACCGGCGAAGAGCGAGGAACAGGGCTGGAGTAGTGATGGGAATGATTCGTACGGCAAGATCCAACCACGACATAATTCACCGCGGCAGCCACAGCAGCGGCAATCGGGGAACCGGAGCCTCTCTGGTTGGTGGGGCTATCATTTTGGCCGCGGGAGAACTACGTCTCATGAAGGAAGGAGGAGTATGGGGGGTCTTCACCAAGGCGGCAAAGGGCAGACCCGACTACAACGCCAAGGAGAGGGTGGTGACGTTGAAAACTTGGCGGGACGCAGTAACCCCTCTACCCAGGGCTCGCTCTCATCTAGTGGTGTTGCCGCAACCCCTAGTAGACGGAATTCCTCAGGAGGGCAGGCGCGTGTATTTCCACGCGGATGAGGCCGTCCTTCGTTTTCGGTGCTGGATCGGCCACGGAGGCAAGAATGGCCACCGAGTTTATGTGGCGGAGTGATCCTCAATCCCGAAACAGATTGTGTTGAACATTGATCCCCTAGATGTGTTACCACTTGCGACACGGGAGGAAGAGCAGCCCAAGGAGTTTGGGGAGCGGTAGAACGATTGGCCCAACCCTTGGAGCTATTTCGAGGCTCCCACCGGTGGGTGAGTTTCTATCTGTAATGTGGTACAGTAGGTTGATATGTTATGTGGGTGCTTTGGTTGTGGGGCTACATGGTCAAGTTTGTTTTCTCTGAGATCCTGAGAAGCACTGGTAACCCCAGGAGGTTGGATCCACAAAAGGATTGAAAGGTCTTGCTTGGTACATCGTAAGTCGACGGATAGGTTGAAGAGTTGCAACCATCGACGCGATAGTTTTGGGGTTCGGCTGGCTCACGAAGCAACAGGGATGGGGGAGGAGGAAGCCATAGCATTAGAACTATCAGTACCGAACTGTTTTGTCTACTCCACGCCTTGTCACGTTCGTGTTCAGTATGCTGCCGATGCGTCCGTGTCAAAGCCAGGTGAAGGAAGGGTGCAGAGTGGCGCGCAGTTTGCATGGTCTGGCATTAATCAGGCTACTGTAGGCTAATGGCCAATCCAAACGCCTTCACCCGGACGTAACCGGCTGCAGTTTGCACTGATTGCCTCATGATTTGTGGCGGAGTTCTTGTAGTGCTGATACCAAGGCAACGGGGCAGGGCGGCAGGGTAGAGGTAGTGTGGGTTGTTTCCTCACGGTATATTGCACAGTCCTCATGTTGCGAGTTTGGTCGTTAATAATTTTCTTGTGCTTCGACTTCGTCTGTTGTGCTTCGACGAAAAAGAGCAGCTTGGCATCGCGGACGGCTCGTGATCACTGCCATGCAGCTGGCTGTTGTAGCCAAGGACCATGTTCAGGGGCTTGGGAGAGGACTCGTTGGCATTTTTTGTGCGAATCATCTTGCTCGGTAAGGAAACTCAGCTATTATAAAATGTCCTCGACAACAAGGGGAGCCGGTCAGTGTGAATTAAACATCGCGAAAATGATGCCTGAAAAACCGCACCAGGTAGTTCTTGTCCTCGGTGGAAAAACAAAAAATAATTTTGATGTCTCCATCGTCTGCCACACGTTGTCGCGTAGCATAAGGACGGGCAGCTGCTGTTTATGATAACCGTTTCTGAGTTGTCGCCCATACCGAGAGCGGCATGCCACCTCTCCATCCTTCCCAAAAGCCGACTTCCTGATCTATTTTTTCGGCACGAAGGTGCATGATAGGCTTCATTGAACACATGTTGGACACCAACCCTCGAGGGTCTGCAGAAGGCGGCACCCTGAGCAACCTTGACCGGTTGCATCGTCTAGACAGCGAAAAGAAATTGCGGGGGTCATGCTAACATCAATAGCTGTCCACAAACAACTGTTCTGGCCCCGATTCGGCGGACTTGTCAGATGTTTTTCTGACACAATGATGAACACACTTTGTTGTTGTGCAAGAGCCCAAGAACGCATCGCGTCCTTAGAATGCATCAAGGAATTTTCCTCTCTCAACGCATGTTGATATCAGCCGCGTCGATGGCTTCAAACTGAAAATTTCCGTTGTATCCCATCGTTCAAGTATCGAACTAGAAAACCCGAGGGAGGCGACGCCCTCTAGCAAAGGAGTTACCATCACAGGCCGAACCGAAGAATCTAACTCTAAGATATTTCGTTTGCGGCGCAGGTCTTGAATCACGAGGAGAGCATCAAACTGTGGTTTAAATACTTCCTTCACTTGAACTGTTATTCCCAATCAAAGTACTTATCAAGGCGGAGAAATCACATCTCACCGCAAAATATAGGTGTTTGGGGTCCTTCCCCGATAACCGACCACCGGGGCAGCCCGTCTTGTTTTCAGGGGATTTCCTCCGCCTTCAACTGCACGGACCCAACCAAACCACCGCACCTCTCTCACGTAACTAAGCGGAAACGGAAACCGAGAGAGAATCCATGAACAAGGACATTTCAGATGTCCAACATTCATTCGTGCATTTCTGACCAAAACAGCGATGCTGATAAGAATCATGCCTTCGTTCGTGCAGATGCTTCCTTTTTTTTGGGACGGGCGGCCGACCAGAACATCCAGCCAATTCCGATAATCTCCACGCGAAAGCTGACCCAAGGTACCAATGAAACAATCTGCACGTGATCCATCTCCCAGTCGCTGCATTTTCAGCGAGAAAACAGATTGTTGCGCGTTTTTCTATCAATATCTCCAAACACCAATCGACGGGCACGTATGCTCAAGTCCCAACTTCTTCAGCCAGCTTCAAGGAACAACCTTCAATGCACAACAGCAGACTTTATCCTAAATCTTCAGCTGCTTGTATGAGGTCGGAGGAAGCAAACGCTAGACTGCGCGATATCGCTACTTGATGCAAACGAAAGTCATAGGCCAGGAACGGATAGAAACCTCTTTGGAGGTTGCAAAACCTGACCTATGGGCTGTCAAAACCGGCTTCAATCCAGTGATTTAGATTCACAGCATCACCTACAGGGCAACGTCCTAACTACATGGCAAGTTCTACTTGAAACCACGTCAACTCCCTGATCGATGTAGTCAGCTCCAAACAGAACAGAATCGCGAAAATTTCCGCACGAAGAAAACCACATGAACAGATGGCCCGCCTACAAAATAAACAAATTACACACGACACAATATATGGGCGCAAGGTGCCACTGGGTGCCAAGGCTAGGGATACACAACACTTTGACACAAGACACTGTGACATCAATGTACATTCCGCACTATCGCCCCTGAAACGGGTTGACGAACAGCCGGTCGTCCACAATAGCTCCCTTTTCGTTGTACTGGAGGGGGGGAAAGCAATCAACAGCAGCAGGGACAAAATTGGGAATTGGATGACATTCGATGAGGCACTATTTGGCGAGTATGACTTCCGTTGGACATTGTCGAGCGTTTCTTCTCCAAACAGCGTCCTCTGTCTGATGACCATCACTTTCTATATTGCAGCGATGGAGAAGAGGGTCATTCATGGAGGGCCTTGTAATTGGAGTGGAGGTGGTATCTGAGATTGGCGATTCAAACTATGGCAGGGTACGTCGGCTGATATTCCCGATGCGCTATGCCCATTGAATAGCCAAACTGCCGTGAACGCACGAGGAGCCCACCACGAACGTACCCCACGCTTGGTGCACTTTCGGCTGTACAAGTACTTCGACCGGTGAACTCCCCATAAACAGGCAAAGTCCTCTTCCCGCTGCGATACCAACAACAACTTCCGTCATTGATGGACATGATAGTCCCGTGGGAGTTTGATACGTTACTGACTCATGATTGGCGTTTGTTTGCTACAGCATTGGTGTCCTCACCTTTTTGCCTTCGGCGACCCACACCGTCCTGCGATCGCAAGGGCAGAAGTAACTGCACGGAAAACTGCCGACGACTGTTATCAACCAGGTGGTCAGTCCGCAGTAGCGTTCCTCCACCCACATGCCCGTGGTGGGTGCTCCAGGCGCGGCCATGACAGGCTGCGCGGAAGAAGGGGATTGCGGGGCCGCGGTCGCGCGGCAAAAAGGGCTTCATCAATGAGATGGCTGAAGGCCAACGCATGTTATATTCTTATCTATACAAGCGAGTGAAAGAATGTGTACAGACGTAATATCCTGAGGCGTTAACCTGCAAACACATCAACACTCCCCGCCCCCGCTGGCCCCTTTCGTACATCACTCTTCATGGCTGTGTACGGAAAAATAAGGCATTCAAGGTAGGTAGCACTACTGTAGGCATCGGGGGCGCTGCTGTGAGCCGGGGCGAGTACATATCGGTGCCAGGAACAGGGACAGTACAGGTCTAACGTACCCCACGTTCGTCATCGGTCTTCTGACTCAACTACGGTCCCACATCCCCACGCCATATCCAACCGTACAAACGTGCACACACCAATCACCATCTGTATGAACAGGTTGTTTCAGAAGGAGTACAATAGTGCAGCAGTATTGTAGGCTATTCGGAGGTGTCAAATCTTGCTGAGACTCAAGCTTTCACATGAAGGAACAAGCTCCCTTTCCCTGGGAACGGTCTGGCACACGTGTCTCCAAATCTGACAAATTGCTCCTCATGTTGAAAAAAACTCGCGACGGAGAGCGTTTTGCAAGCGACAACAACAGTCGCTTCCGAGCCCGGCACAACCAGCAATAAATACTACTGCTGTAGAGGTAAGAGGCGGTTCAGGGCAAGCAACGGTCCCAGGAACGCTGGTTGAAGTCTGAGATTCGTCTCAACAAATCTGACAAACACGCGTGTCGTCCACCGCCACGACCACCACCGCCGTACATGTAGTCACCACGTACTGCTGTAGTCTATGCTACCATGAATGAACGAGGATTGGATGGATGTTTTGAACTTCAAACCTCGGGTCGGATCTCTACCCTCGAATGTGCGGGGATTGGACAAAAGGCGGTCAAATAGTCTTGGCATTCCTGGGATGTTTGTTGAACGACACGTGACAAGCTTGTACCTCTTTTGTGCTATTTCAAAAAAAAAAAAAACTCCTGCCGACACTCTGAAGTAAGTACCAGAGGGTACCAACTGCTGTTCGGGTCTTTCGAAGGTTACGCTCCGCTGCACACTTGCACTCACTGGCCAACCCTGTTGCGGGACCCTGCCCTCTAACAGAAACTGTGGAACAAACATGTTTAGATCGCAACTAGCTATAGACTAGGTTGTCACTTACCGCTGCCTCCGCAGCCTGAGGGACAGGCTGGCCAGTCACGGCGTAGGCTGTGGTGGGTGCCTCAGCTCTGTTGATCTGCGGGAACGAAACGAAAAATTTGGGACGGGCGCCGACATGAGCACCCACAGCACGCGGGGGCAGGGAAAATACCGCGAACGCCCATTTCGACACACCCCTTCCGAGACCAACGCACTGCTGCGTCAAGGATTGATGGGCGTCATATTCTCTAGAGAGGATGTGGTGGCTGGTCCATCGGTGTGGGAGGGAAACACGGGAACCATGCACTGCTGCATGGTGGCAGCTCTACAAGCAGCAGCATAGAGGTTGGCCTGGCTGGCCTGTGGAAAAGGCGGACACCCAATTCATCATACCCATAATCTTGGCGAAAAGCTGTGGCTGATGTACAGCAATCCCCGACCTGCTTCTAACCGGCCGGCTTCTCGCGTTACCGTTTCGGTGCTGTTGATGCTGTCAGCTACTCGCAACGAACACGCCTAGCACGCCATGTGTCTTTGATTACAAGCATCTCTTCGCGGTAGCTCTCACCGGCTTGTACTCATCCGTGGCCATTTTAGATAGCTTGCTGAGACGTCGGTTACCTGTGGTGGTGCCGTTTATGGTATGGATCTCTTGTGTGTGGAGGTGAGTGTAGTTATAGCAGCGCGTGATCTCGCGCGCCTGTGCCAACTCGGCGATCCTCCTCACAGGAAGTAGGAAGTAGCGTTCTTCGGCGCGTTACGAAGAACTGAAGAACCGTCCTCGGAATGGCGATCGTTCCGCGGGTCCCTTCTGCAAGATACGGATAATACGCCGCATGTTGCATAACCGTCGGGAATCTTTGTATCGAGTCTCGAGTTGCTTTGTCGAGAAAAAACGCGCGACACACCACGGAACACAGGGGTTTGTCTTCTGCGTAGGCCACGTGTGATGCAATAGCACCCCGAGATTGTATGTAGTGTTCTTCAGGGAATTCGCCAGCTGCGGCAACACAACACATGACATGCGTAGACTACATGTACCGTGCACTGCGGAAGATCAACTATAGACTAGCCTTGGACCCACAGGTCACCGTATGGTATTATGGTGGTGGCAGCGCAGAGAGGGTGGCCATGCAAGCAGTGTAAGGAGCAGAACCCTGACGAGGAAGACTTTTGTGACAAGTGTTTCGCTCCACGCCGGGCTAGTGGTGCACCGCGGGAGACGTGCAGGACTTGCCTCCACCGCCACTCCACTGGAAAGCACTGCCACGTCTTCATCGTGAATAAAAAGCGCCGGAAGCGAAAGGCAGCGGTAGGTGCACCAATTCTAAAAAATGCAGAACCCGGGTACACTAGAGATAACAACAACGTAGTAACAACAGCGGCAAGCCATTTACACTGTAGTCTACGCACGGTATAGTCTATCGTCTACCCAGCCCGTTCTCGGACAAGTGGGTATAGACTACAAAAAATCGCGGAGAGCAAGCGTGCGTGAGAGGGACGAAAACACTCTACCCCGATTCATGCCTGAAGAAGTAGACAGCATGAAGTAAGCAACATTTCACTTCAGTCAGCCAATGAACGAGAGAGTGGGTTCTGATTTCGATTCGTGATTGTGCCTGGTCCTGGGATATCTCTCTCATGCGCTGCAAATATGAAGATACTGCTGTAATCCTTTTATGTATAGACTAATGTTGGTCCATAATATAATCCTTTCATGCATAGGTCCATACTTCAGTACTACTTGTTGGTGCTGGATATTTTGGACTAAAAATATGTGTGTTCGCTAGTTCTCCTTACATACCGTACACCACACAACAGTCGGTATACGCGGTGGTGATCACCGATCTACGAAGCTGAGGGCTCTTGGTATGTGTTATTATGTAGGGAGAATATTTGATACGTCGGAGCCCCAGTTGCCCCGCATTGAGCCGTATGGCGTGCTCACCCTCTTTCTTCTCTGGGCGTGGCTATTATGCGCGGGGTTTGCAACCTGCAACCCGGGGGATTGTCGTTATTTCGCAGCATGCAGATTCTCTCCTCGTGACTAAGACTGGGACGGTTGGTTTCCCAACAACAAGCGTTCACGAGGATGTATGTAGACGCGTGGTTTGGTGTGACTCGACAAAGAGGCAATGGGACTCTCCCCAGGTTCAATGTGGTACAATTATGCCATGCTTTTCGTTTAGGGTGTAGCTTGTGACAATGGAAATAAGGTGCCCCGTCCTTTGTTGTTTCTGTTGGAGCGATTGACTGTTGAACCTTACTGCTCAACTCGGCCGTAACACCCTCGGACTACAGCTGGCTCTTCAAGCTTCAACTCTGATCAGAGGCTGCATCAGAGGGATTGCTCCTGTCTGTAGCGGGCTCTCCAATCCGGCGTGATGAATAGGTTTGTACCCAGCAGTCAGTCAGACATATTATTCCTACCATAACGAGCACCCCAATGTCCCCTCAGTCTACTTGCAACGCTTCGTGAGCTAGTAGTGCGCATTCTGGCAGAATCACGTGATCGGTCGAAAATCTCTATTCGCGCTACAGTGGATGGACAAATATCATGACCATCCAACTACAGTAGAATTTCGTGTGTGCGCGCTGACCTGGTTCGATTTCTCCCATCCCTTCAGAAATGGAACAAACCTCGAAAGACGGCAGGGAACGACGGGACCGACGACGAAGAGTGAGTGGGGATAGTGTCATGGCATGCATCGCTATCAAAAAGGGTCGGTTGAATGCCCGCCAGCATATGTTAGGCGAGTTCGGTCCCGCGGGTAGCTGTTCGACTGCAAAGAGAGGATCTCAAGTCTCCGGACTCCGGAAACCATTAGTGACTGTACCCAAACAGGTCATGTTTTTCAATGAGGGAGTGTACGTTGCAAACCATCAAGGTTGGCGAACGTCGTTAAAACCGGAAGCACTGCGTGGTCTGCAGCTGCGGCGTTCAAGAGGTTTGGGTGCCCAGAAAATAGGGCGAGGTATCTTCCGAACCACATGTATGTGCATACATCGAACGTGATGCCTTTACCACAAGCCGTACAATCGAAAACTAGAAGCGTGTGTTCTCGGCCCGCGGAATATGAATCTCCAAGTAGGTTCATGCCGACGGACGTAGAGTACATAGAAGAGGACTGCGTCAACCAACACTGGGTGATGGAGGGGACTTTGTGAGGAAGTCTCGACACACTTGCTGTTATTTGGGGGCTGCGGCTTTCGAGTGGGCTGACGAGTGCGAACCCGTGCCGTATTCGCTTTGCCATATGCCCCGCGCCGCCCCGGAAACCTCCATCCATGCCTATAATAGGTCGTCTTCGTCAGGAAATTTGTCAGGAGGTTTGTCAGGAGATTCGTCAGAGGAAGAAGAGCAGGGAAACAACGGCGGTGTAGAAGAGGAAGGAGAGGACGAGGACGAGGAGGAGGACGAGGAGGAGGACGAAGAAGATGAAAGCAGCGAAGATTCCTCAGAGTCGTCCGGCAGCGAGGTGATCACGCAGTAGCAATGTCTCCCTCTGCAGGAAGCTGTTTTGGTTTTGGTCGAGGCTCCTCTAACACCTTTCCGTCATGGAGGGAGGTTCACGGGGCAAAGAGCAATGCCCCAGGAGAATAGTCATATGTTGCGTGTACTATGCTTGATGAGCTGGAGCCTACAATGGAGATAGATGCCAGAGGAAATGAGTGTGGCAAGCTGCTAAATTGCCGCTCAAAATTTCTAGACGCGGAGGCTCTCATTGATCCTTGCTTCTAGGAAAGGTACCGCAGTTTTCTGGTGTCCTCTTTCGCCCCATTTCGGTAACGATAACCAGAAGAATGTAGCACATACATGTGTACCGTATGCGAACATATCAAATGGAGTGAGATCAAGCATGACGAGACCTGTGTCGTACTTTCCAACGATTTCTCGCGCGCGCAACCCCCGTCGGGTTGCCAACGATAGGATGAAGACGGAGCTCCCAAGAAGCCGAAGAAAGGGCTGCTAGGACTGGGAGACCGTCTGGCAGCTAGGGCTGCCGCAATTGCCAAAACTGCCGGAAATTCGCTGCAGGTGGTGAGTTTGACTTGTTTCCCGCGCATACTTCGTTGAATCCTTACAATCCCGATCCCCTCATTGGCTGAGAAAGAGTCAACACCTCGCTGACGTCGACAATACTGATGGACAAGCCTGTGCCCATGGTCCTACCGGAACACAGATAATTACTTGTTTAGGACACGAAGTCCATCTCCTGCCCTTCGTACGTTCCGAAGGGATTGATGCGTGCCGGCCCCTCAGTCGATAAGCCTGGAAGCAGTTCCCCAGCGTCATCGCTGGACGTACCCCCGGCCGGGTGCAACGAGAAAAGTCACATCGGCATTGACTATAGTAGCTACGTTCGGTTTTTCCCATTTTCATGGTCAATATCTTGCCGATGTGGAGAGGGTGGGGATCTCGATCCTCTTTCCGATAATACTCTAAGGATGTACGATTGAGGAAGTATAAATATTGCAATCTGCTGGCCTTCAGTAACGAGCAATACGATCTTGTGTGCACATGAATTAAAATTTACACGACATTTCTCGATCCTTCGCAAAACTTGCGCCGGTAGCATTGATACTCGCGGTCCGACACTTGGTGAATTTCCGGCAGGTAACTGGACAGGGGCGACGGCGGAAGACTCCCCCATGGGCGAGAGCGGCGTGCTTCCGGCGGTGTAACTGCAGCCACGGCGTTCCTACAGACAGCACGGCGTTCGTGCCGCTTCAGGTGATGCATGGAATAGAAAATATGTAGGAATTAAGCGTAGGTATTTACAGCTTGCACCACAAGCCACAAGCATGGAAGCGATATAGTCAGAGGCACCTCCGTCAAAGAAAAGAAAAATAAACGCGACCACGGTATCATTACAGACCGCACGGTGTTCGTGCCAGCTCGGGTGGTTGTTTCGATGAAAAAATTACCACTTCTCTCAAGCGTGTGCTCCGTTTTGTTCGAACTCCAGCATCCTTTACATGTTCTTAACGGGGGTGCCGAGCCTTGGTTGCTGTGCGTGCGTAACCAGCTGCAGTTATGCAGTCAGTCGACAATCCTACGTCTAGTTGGGTTAAGGCCAAACAACGTTCGATTGAGATCGATTTTGTCCCTCAAGGAACTTTCACTGTGATCGCAACGCAACAAGGCAAAAAATGGTGGACATGGTTATCTTTTCCCGTTTTCGGCACATGCGATATTTTCATGTCGTGGTTGGTTGCGTATCAAATATCCCTTGCACCATGGAGTAGCTCAGTCGAGAATCAATCTGATCGAGCAGCTTGGTTCTCCCTTTGGAAGAAAGAACAACCGAGGGGTGTAACAGAGGCTAGGATCCTTGACAATACTCGCTCTTTAAAAATCGGTACCAGGTGCTACACTGCCGCAACACATGGCAGAACCTCCTTCCTAGACCAACTTCGTTCCCCACAGCTTTCCTTAAACTCGCAAATTTGCCAATGGGAAGAACGAAGGGTTCGTTAGAGGACCCCCAAGAAAATACATGAACCTTTGTGGGCCGGGAGCAAAAACGTTTTCTCCTGAGGCGTCCCACACCCGCGTGTGTGACCGAAATTTCGGGTGCTACCACGTGGGTCGTCCTGATAGCGCAACTGCCGCACCACTGCGTTGGCCGAACTACTGCAACCTCCATACAGGAAGGGAGGAAACTCGAGCACGAGGCGGTCGGGGTGGTTACGGTTAGAGCAGAGCCCCTCGAGGGAGCTGAGCTCGAATTTGAGAACCGACCGCCGCTGGCACGGACACCTCCACCCCCATGTGAGACCAAAACATTTTTTCCTTGCGTACTCCCGGAGAACGGGTGAAACGCCCGACGACAGGCACTACAAAGAAAGGCTAATGTAGTCACAAATCGTAGAATCAGTGTGAGATCATCACTACAGTGTATGTGTCGGCGTGCATTGTCGATGCCGTTTCACAACGATATTGATTTTATTACGGTATGAATACTAGATAGGGTGAATGAGCGTGCGGTCGAAACCGCCGTACTCTTGTGATACATGTCTCCTGCGTTGTAGAGCTCTCGGAGAAACAGGTTGTTGTGTCTTGTGCTATTCCGGCCAGATCCATCTGTATGCTTCTGACTTGTTTACGCTGATGATGAATTGATTCCCCTTTCATCTACACCACCGATACTCCATGCATGTGGTAGTAGATATCAAGAGTCCTCAGAGCTTACACCGCAAGGCTTGGCTCGGCTGCCGCGGAAACATGGAACGTTTCCCCCTTCCCTGACCACGTCCACCTCACAAAATGACCGTGATTCAAGCAGACGCGCTCAGGCTTTTCCTGGAGTACATGGACAGCAGGACTGTTTCCCGCTGTGCTCACACCTCAAAAGAATGGTGAGAATTCCTTCCTTGTCGAAACGTGGGAGAAGGTGCGTTGGGGGTGTACCCCAAAGGCAGCGTGTGGGGTGTCCCCCCACAGCAATCCTTCCAGCAGATGACCGAGAACCCAAGCACTACTGTAGCCTACATGTATAACTTAGATCGACCAGACCACTCTTTCTGTGACACCCCCTGCTACGTTCGACAGAACAGGTTCATTTCGAACTATCTCCATAGGTTTGAGAGGCACCAACTGAGGTACCAGAGGGACGAAAAGAAGCATCGTCGTTGCGGCCAGCCGGTCATCGGCATGCTTTTCACGCAAACTACTCTCTTAAGCGCTTGACAACGCTGCACCTTGCCAACCTTGGCGCCGTCTGAAATATTACCCTTACCCAGGCATCGCGAGTGCTACCAGAGGAGCGAAGGGGGGGTGCCAATGCACCCCACCTACATGGGGATACATTTCATGGAGCTGGGCTCGCAAGTGGATGCCTGCCAAGACAAGGTTTGTCCTGGTATGTTGACATTGCTGTTACCCTGGCGGAGGGTGAGCGCTGAGGTGACACCTCCAGTTCAACGGGCACGTTCGCAAGGCCATCAGCGCGTTCTGCACGATGTGGAGCCCCCCAAAGTGTGTATCACGTACGCATATCGATCTCAAAGTTCAGATACCACTTGCAACCAATTTGCGATAACAGCACAGGGCGCCTTCCGGGATATGCCGGGGAGGGGTTGATAATGTTGCCAAACCACCTAAGCTCTGAAAATTCAGTTGTGGGTTGCTCTCGGTGTGTAGATGCGATATTCGGTCTCAGATTTTTAATCCGGGGTTGGGAAGGTGGGTTTTCAGCGAAACTTGGTGATTTGTCTTACTCAATGTATAGGGACACGCAAATCAGGGGACACGAACTTTCTGTCCCCCCCCGGGGACAAAACGGGGATTTGCCCATATCTTGCCCATTTTAAGCGCTTTTTTGACCGCTGTTCCGGTAGAACAAACCCTACAATTTTTGCAAACTTTGCTGGCCACTTCCGACCAGGGGACACGAACTTCATGTCCCCCCCCGGGGACAAAACGGGGATTTGCCCATATCTTGCCCATTTTATGCACTTTTTAGGCCGTTGTTCCGGTAGAACAAACCCTACAGTTTTTGCACATTTTACTGGCCACTTCCCACCAGGGGACACGAAATTTGTGTCCCCCCCCGGGGACAAAACGGGGATTTGCCCATATTATTACCACCAAGAGTAAAGGGTAGCGCACAATACTTGCAAACGTTGCGTTCGACACCACACCAGAAAAAGCAAGAAGAACAACAAACGTCGACGAGTTCCATTCTTGTGGTTGGCAGCCAACACATCCATCCATCCCTAGCCCACCTCCGGGAACCTCTTCTTCGCGATACTTACGCGACCTCTTGAGCTTACGTATTGCGCTTCCTCCCGCTCCCCCTCCTCCTCCCCCTCCTCCTCCTCCTCCTCCTCCCCCTCATCGTCCTCCTCCTCTCCCTCATCTTCCTTCTCCCCTCCCCCACCCACCTCCCCCATGCTCTCGTCAAGCGTAGGCGCCACTGGGGACTCGTCCGAAGATATGACCGGAAGAATAACGCCGGTCAATTGAGTCCCAAGCGTGCGTCTCCCAACCATCTCTTTTCCCGACTTCTCCATCACCTCGCCAACCAAGTCGGGGTACACCTTCGCTACCATGCAGTCACCGTAGCAGCCTATTCGGCAAGTCGAGCAGTAGCACGATGCGCCCCGAACCCGCAACTTCCAAGATCTGGTGAACTTCTTGGGGGCGGCCCATTTCCTTGCCCTGGACTCGTCTACCACCCACTTCCTAGCCGTCAACACCTTGTCTCCGGCCGCTCCCACCACAAAATCGTCTGTCTGCACCCCCACACTAGTAGCCCACACAAGACTAAAGGTATCCTGCACGTCCTCCTGCTCGTCCTCTGTTCCCGTGAAAAAGTACAGCTTGGAACTTCCAGGGATCCCCGTCAGATCTATCGGTGGGCGAGGAATTTCCTTGGGGCCAAACTTCCTGACCTCGAAGCTCTTGATCCGGTAAGGGGACCAGGTTGTGAAGTGGCCTTCACGCGCCTTGTCCGCCTCCACGGCGTAGCCTAGAAGAAACTCGTGCGCGACGTCGACGTCGGGGATACGCGTGCCATGCATCTCCGCGTTCCGAAGTAGGCGCTTCATGAGCGCCCCGATGCCATCATGCGTGCCCTTGAAGTGAGAAGTGACGGCGAAGTTGTGCAAAATGCGGACACCAAGCCTCCTCAGGCTCTGCGCCACTGCTCGAAAGTTCCGCTTCCCCTTGTACTGCTTGCCGCACCCGTCCGTAAACATGTGCACTCGTGGGGCCGCACTCCCAGCGGTGGCCGCAGACTTCGGTCCCGTCGTGTAGTGCGCAACAACGACCTCCATCGCTGCGTGATGGAAGTCGAAGTCATGGTTCGGATCGCTGGACAAAAAAATCCAAGCGTCTGTTTCGTGCTCCCCACGGTTGTCGGGGCTGTGATGTACAAGGGCCACCATCATGGTCGTTGTTGGTGCGGTAGCACATGTCAGCACGACGCGTGCTTCATGCCTGTACTTCTCGATGAAGTCCGTCTCGATCAACAGCTCGCCCTGACGAAGTGTAGCCATGCACATCTTGTGGGCTTGGCGCTGCCACTTGGCTAAGGCATGGTGCTCCATGTACTGGAATGGAAGGAAGGGAAAGTGAACAGGGGATGGGTTGGCAATAGATATGATATTGTGTCGTCAATAGACATGTTATTATGAATCGCTACAAAGAGCGCTCCTTATTGACTAGAATAGTCAACAGTGTAAACCTGCCGGGCATACTATTGTTGAACTCGCCTTCACGGAGTGTGCCATGAACTCGTCCCACAGGTCTTCGAGCTTCCCCGTCTGGGGTAGCTGCTGCTTCTTGTGCACCTTGCCGTCAGGCATGGTTTGGTCTTCGAAGCGAATCCATGCTACTACCCGCTCTCTGTTTTTCGCAATAGCGGTGCAGTTGGTCGGGATGCCTCCAGGCTTTCCGAACCCGCACTCGGAACACTTCATCGCAGCGCATGCCGGTTTCCGACCCCAAAACTCAAATCCCCCGTCGGAATCCCCCTCCAGCAAGTTTACCTTCTCGCACGCCAGAGCGTCAGAAAACTTGCTCAGGTCCTGGCACATGACAGACCACCTCTTACAACCAAGATCGTCACACCAGTTACACTCACAGTCGCAGTCTTGGTGTATCGACCCCATCAAGAACGAAAGGGCCTCGAGATACAACGTCTGCTGCGTGTGGATCTGACACGCACACTGCGATGCCGTTGGGTCCACTGAAAAGGGGCGGTGAAACATCGCAACAGACCAAAAGCAGAGGAGAACAAAAACGTCAGCTCTTATTCCTCGTCAACAAAGCCATACGTCAGCAACATTGATCGGGTTTATCAGGTACCAGAGGTACACGTTTTGGGCACTCTAACCGTAGAACCAGATTGACCCACCTAAACACCCGCACCGCGTTGACAGAAACGTCGTCCTGCCAGGGTCGGTGAAGTTGCTGTCCTGCTCAAGTAGCCTTGACTTCAGCGCCAAGTACCGCCGGCTCTCGAGGAACATCCTCCACACACTGTCTCCCTTGTGCATGAGCTGTCTCCGAGGGTGAGAGGGTGCGTCTCTCTTCTTAGACTCCTTGTACATGTCCCTGGCTCCTGCAGGGGGCGAAACCAAACGTTTTTTTCTCTAAGAGACTCCATCACATCTGTAATGTGGACAAACGAACGGGTGTATTGCAGTTCACAGCACCGTGTGGCCGTGTAGTACAACAAACGTAGCGGTAGACCTTCGCAACATAAAACACAACTGCCGCATACAACCGAGACTACGGTAACAGCAACGCAACGCAGCAACTTGCCTGAGTTCCCTGTTGCACGGGAAACGTCGTCGGAGTGCCAGAAAGCCCTGGCGAGAGCCATGACCTCGGGATTCGTCACGTCACTCCGTGTCTTGCGCTCGTTGTACACGTAGCATCCCTCACTCGCAGCGATCTTGGGGGCGATGTCGTGGTTCGTGTTGTGCATCCGCCACCGTGCGTCGCTGAAAGTCTCGTGCCGAATGCCGAGACTGTTAGCTCGCTCGGCAAGGCTCACTCCACCAGACTCAACGGGCTTGCACCGCTGGCCGGGGTGGCACACGTCCGTGTCAGTACACGTGTGCTCTCCCGCTCCGGCTGCTACAGCGAGCGCTGTCTGGTAAGTGGTCCACCCTATCGAGCTGTTGCAGTGCTGCTTCAGCGCTTGCAACGACGCGCGGAGTGCACGAGTGTTGGCCGCGTCGATCGCCGCCACCTTAGCTGCTGCCTGCTCTGCCGCGCCAGCATCCAGCATGGCCCGTACTCGCTCCATCAACACGGGGTCGTTCTGCATCAAATCCATCGCGCTGGAACGACGCTCCTCCGCAACCTGCGTACAACGTATCAGTAGTTTTTGGAGGAGTCGGGGGAACATATGAGTGAGCGGCAAATAAACACCACGGTAGCAGCGTCATTGCAGCAGTTACAGCAGTCGCCAAACCCGTGCAACTTTTAATGCGCTTTCTGTGCTTAAGATATCGACGTGGTGGAATGGACCTCAATTCTTGGGGGCAAAGAGGACGGGCAGCGCGTGTACCAAATTTCAAATTCAAGAACAGAGCAGCTGGCACGAACTGGCGCGCAAAGTAAAGCAGTCAATCAAGCACTCTGGAACACCTTTCAGCAGCACCTCAGAAGTGACTCAAAACTCACCGCTTCCTCCCTCGAAGTCTCTGGGGTAGCACCGCTTCTGGTCCCGCCATCATGAGCCAATGCTAGAGGGTCGGAGAGAGCTGCGTCCGCCCCCTTGCGCTTCGCCTTCTTCGCCGCAGCAGATGAAGCAGCAGCAGCAGCAGCAGGCTGTCGTTTCCCGCGTTTCGATGCTCTCTCTCGGATGCCTTCAACGTGCTCTCTACCCTTTTCGAGGAGCTCAACTTCATCAGCAACCACAGATTGCACAGGTTTTCCAGCTGCCTCGGTGGTACCCTTTCTCAACAGCTGGCTGATTAGCAGTATCCCGCGGATGTGGTTCTTCCGCTGCTGTCTCACTACCCTCTCTTCCCCTCGGATTTCGATTGTGCGGTCTACCTCCATGAGGCTGCCACGAGCCACGGCCAGGCCCAAGTCGGGACGGCCGTCCTAGAACGAGATTAGGTCTGATGACCTCGAGAGTGGTCTCCTCTGTATGTAATTCGACCAAGCGGAGTCGATTGCCGTGGAGAACAAGGCTTGCGTCGGCGATGTTTGCGGTGAAACAGGATGCGCCGCATCGTTTATCTTGAAAAATGTGGGGGAGATTTTTTTTTTTTTCGTGTTTTTTTTGTCGTCGGTTGGTCTCGCCGAAACGTTTCTAGAACCGGTCTCCATTTTTCATACCGACGAAAACTCGTTCTAGGACGCAATTCTCCGGCATATACCGGAAGGCGCCACAGGACCAACATTTTACTTTCTCATTCTGCAAAGATAGTTCTATGAAAAACGACACGAGATTTCCCTCTAGCAAGGGTGTGTGGGAGACTTTCGACGACCTCGAAAAAGCGCGCACAAGCTTTTCGGTGGAAAGTTTGTCAAACGATGTCGTATTCCATCATAGGACCAATGATACACTAGACATTTGGAAAACTTGGAACGGTTCCCCCTGCAGATCGACGGGATGTTTTTCCACCAGCCGCCGACGGGAAGCTTTGGACAGCTTTTCACCGCGGGTCAGCGGAGGGTCACGGCTTGGAGGCGCCAAGAGACGGAGGTGCGCCATGCCCAACTTCGATCAGACACAATGTGTTGGTTGCACTTGGTGAAAACGGTGCCCTGGGTGCAAGCACTTGAGAGAACGAACGAGGCAGCCCGCCTCCTTTGCATGATGCCGAGATGAAATGAGCTAGAAACGTTCCTCTGCTAAATCCACAGAGCGAGTACTGCAAGTCTGTTTTTTTCAATCATAGTCCTAAAATTTTGCCTTGATTTACCGCCTCCGTTTGGGCAGTTGGAGATGTACTACAGCAGAAGTGGCAGATAGATCTGGTGATCTTTATTCGGCTACATGGGCGAGAGGAAGAATGAATATGGGCGAGAGGAGGAGTGAATAAAGCTCCTTGCATCCTGTTCTTTTGGTACGGTAGAGTTACGTGGTTGAAGTGCCTTGTTGGACGGGCCCTTCAAGGAACCCGTCTCGTGGTTACTGCGATTCTAGGCTCTGAGGCTACTACCGGTTTCACAACCTCGCGCTATGAAGGTGGACCGCCAGTAAAATGTTCTCGAGGTTTTCCCGTGAGCGGCAAAAGAAGAACATAGTGAGCTCCAGACTTCCCTTTTAGTTCCAGCAAGGCACGTGTTATTCAATGATCGCCACGGTATTTGTAGTACTCCGTGCAACTTATGTTGGGCGATGCCTTGATTCCGTTGAACTTGTTCGAAGGTGAACACGGAGCGAGACCGATCGACAGCGTCTGAAGGTAGGTCCAGCTTGTGCGAACACCTGAGGTCATGTAGTGGAGCTTGTTCGAGCACCTGTGGTCATGTAGTGGGCCAGGCATTCGCCACGCTGGTATCCTGCGGTTCACGAGTTACACGTGTATCAGCATAGTTCATCCGACGCGTTTCGGTGCAAAGCGAAGGATCCTGCAGTACACTTTCATGGCCAAGGGATCCTTTGTATGAGCAACCCTGCAGCATTTCAAAGAAGCACACATCTATTTCAACTTTCCTTCAAACTCTGCGTGCGGCCTAGCCTAGGTAGGGGGTCCACGAAGAGCGGCGAGTCCTCCGAGACCTCTCATTCAGAGGGATATGCGGCTCGCAGAATCGAAGTGTCGTGGCAGAATTCAGGGGTCTGCCTTCGCGATACGGCTCCCTTCACGATGATTCTACCGGTCAACAGCAGGTGCGCGCATGTGTAATCAGCCCAGATATCAACAAAAAAAAAACCAAGCTTCCGGTATTACGTGGTTCGACAGACAGAGGTTGGTTGTCCGTGTCTGGACGCTCCAAACAGGGTGCACCAATCGTTGAATGAAGAAACATTAATATACGAGACGAGAAAAATCGGCAATTTGAACTTCCCCTAAAGTTGACGTGGCCGTTGCAATCCGTCTGAGCAGGGACCGGGATAAAAAGCCTTAACAACACCAAGACGAGCAACCGCCACGTACGGCTCTCTCACCGTCTAGTCTCGGATTCCCTCCTCTCGAAACAAATGTCAAGCAGCTGATGCATCCGTCCTTCCGACCCCACACGCGATGCTTCCCACGGTTGGTTGCAGCATCATCTGCTGCTCATCAAACGGATCAATTCGAGAGTGGTCGTTGGCGCACGAGGTGAAAAACACCCGGTTTCTTGCGCAAATGTGGGAACACAACGGCTACATCACTGACGTGGTGAGCTAAATTGGACTCTCTTGTGGCACGTGACGTTTGTCGTCGTAGGGAGTGCGTCGTCACTCCGGGTCTTCTGAGCAGGGCAGAACAGCAGCTATCACATGAACAGCCTGTTTCGCCGTATGGTTTCCTCACGTCCTTGTGATAGCACATACCATCACACCTTCTACATTAGTATTACGTACTATTGCTGGCCCGCAAGATTGCAACATGGCTTCTCACTCGACCAACACAAGCTCTTGCTTTCTGGCGTGGCAGGCGTTCACGGCACCGTCCGCCGGGTTCTGCAAAGCCCACGGAGCGCCCCAACACTCCTGCTACATGTACTCTGTTTCTGATGACAGATACCTCAAGGTATACGACCAAATACTGGTTGATTTCAGCACCATCTCGCACACCGAATGGGGTGCGTCGTTTCGGATAAAATGTAGACTAGCTCACACAAGTGACTTCCCGAGACTTGGTATTCATTTAAACCGAGAACATCTATGGCGAGGTAGCGAATGTTCCTGGACGACAAAGGACTGCCTGGAGATTTCGGGAATGCCCTCTTGAAAAAAACGTTCGCCTCACTTCAACCAAGAAGAGTTCAGTAAGGGCCATTCCTTGGTTCAAACAAAGTTGAGAAGTATTGTCAACGGTTTCGACCCCTTGATTGTGTAACGACACTGGAGCATAGTTGTTTTATTATGAATCTGGCATCGCCAAGCCATATGATGCCCCAACGACAGAAAGGTACGACGCTTTACCTTTGGCCGTCAAGCTGGGCTCCACCTAAACAATGGTTCGGAAACGTCAACTTCGTTTTTATCACTGGATTTCGAAAGGCTCAACCGAACTTGTCGAGTGTAGAAAGGAATGGTTTCGAGATAGACCTTCTCTCGTGGAGGTACTAACCACGCCATGCCATCACGTGTGAGTACACGAGCTTTTTGCCACGGCACATGGTGGATACCGTGTGTGTAACTTTTGCGCGCGTATTTGGCACCCATCTCTTGCTTCTGTGAAAAGGTGTGGGACCTCGCGACGAAGGAATGTCTGCACACGGTCACGCCCAAGATTTCGGACTGCGGGACGGTGAGCAGCAAGCAGACGGGGGACGTTTCGAATTCGCGCACAATGAATACGGCGTGTGCACAGATCATCTTGGAAACAGGAGCGTGAGGGAATTGTATTCTTGCTGGATGCAAGCATATCACCTGGTGTATCCTCTTGGCTCTTCGGCAGGCCTAGGTGCACAGGCCCATATGTCTCTAGACCCCACAAAACCGTCGAATCAAGGGCATACATACCTGTTGTTGTGAGAGTCTTGCACCCAACTCTCCCACACACGTTTACCTCCCGCAGCTTCAATCGGTGACAAAATCCGACTTCCATCTCTACGTGGGGAGCAGTATCGGCCACATCGTCGTGTTTGCCCTCGGGCGCGTGTGCGAGAGGCCCGAAAAACACCGATGCCACCTGTACGAGAAACCCCAGTGGTTCTGTGAGCAGGTGCGCGCGCGAGATCTTGGGGGTGTTCCGCGGCAAAGACGATTTGTCTCTCCCGCGGCGAGGAAAACCTCGAATCAACAACCGTTTTTGGATACATGTCTAAAACGACGTTTAAAAGCATGAAAAAAAGAGAAACAAAAAAAAATATGATCGGATCGCCTTGATCGTTTTTTTTCACCGCGTTGCCGATTTCGGCGCCTCCATTTCTCCTCGGCAATCGATTCCGCTTGGCCGATTTAGAGGGGGTGGAGCCACTCAGAAAGTTGATCAGACAAAAACTCGACGTGGGAACCGAGAATCCAAAATCCCAGGAATTTTGAAATTGCTCAGCTACCGTCAGCTTTTGAGCAGCTGAAAGTCCATTGCAAATCAAAACTGGGACATTCCAACAATATATTTGTGATCCCCACCCCAAAATTACCCTAACTCGAAGTCAGGAGAGATTGAATCAACATGTAGAAAGTGTTGCGGGAGGGGGGATATTTCAGTGTACTTTCTATTATAGTAATTCCAGGTTGTCCCTGCTTTCGCGCATATATATCAGTGCGTAGCTGTATCACGGCCGCATCGATCCTGATCGAAATTCTGACGACGGATTCTTGATGTACAACACAACATTACCCTAACCTGAAAATTTTATACGATTCGGAGGCGTTTGCAACTTGCTCGGGGGGCCCGCAGACGCGATTTTCACCCAATTTTGGCCACTAATTCATCAATAAGTCATCACCACGACATCCAAATGGGAAAATAAGTATATTTTCGTTATCCTCGTGACCTAACGGATGTTGGTACAAATTTTCAGAGGTTGGGAACCATTTCTTGCTGCTCATTGAAAAACTCGTGGAAACTATTCGTCTTTATCGCGGAACACCCCCTTGGTCCAAGTAAAACAAGCGGTCGATTGCGACAAGCGGGCTTTGGCCAAGCCCGGGGAGACCAGAGCCATCATTTTCCTTGCTGAGAGAAATGGGTCATTTATTGCCTAGTGTACTCGCAGTCACTGTGTTCACCCGATCCCCGTGTCTACCCCTAGCTCAACTTGGGCTGCATCCGTGTAGGCAACGAAGAAAAAACGGATGGCGACAAGAAATGATTTGATGTTGGTGCTCCCATGAGAGAAATGATGTTTCCGTTGTACTTGGATCGCGTTCATACAGGATGGGGTGTGTTGGCCCAGTTGGTTCTTGGCATTACTTTGCTCTTCGTTTTCCTGTCCAGTCCCACAAGTCAGTGCGCATCGGTATTCAGAAACGTAGGTCAATTACTGGCTGGCACACGTCAGGTGGTCAAGACCCGATTGTTTGAGTATACCCGAGGACGGCTTCCTGCCGAATATCTTGCTATTCCAGCCGCTGGCTGGCTTCCCTCCGCAAGAACGATGTGCAGAGTGCAATATGTCACAAAAGAAGACAAAAAGCGATCCAAGGCGTCACTCACTCGACCACCAATCTGTGTCAGACAGTAGAAATAACCTCGCGCCGTCTTCGCCTCGTCTCGCTGAAATAGGAATCGTTCGACCTTGGGAAGGATCCAGTGCAGCACATGGTCTGCGGGGGTGTAGGCGGGAAATTCAAGTACCTCTTCGCCGGCGCTAGGGACGGAACAATCCAGGCACGGAGATGAGAACGTATGGGGGGAGTATACAAGGAGGCATGTTAACGAAGCAGGACCGCAGGTATCCGGCAAAGGCAAGCTTTTCAGTTTGTACTCAACATGCTCATACCCTACCAACTTTCAAATTATTACCTAGACTAGAGCTCGCAACGAAATTTTTTTCGTTGTTTTCGATGGCTGCCACGAAAATATTGTACGCGATCGATATAAGGGTCTAGCAATCAAAGACAGATGTGAATGTGAACGAATTCATTCCGAACCAGCACGCGTGATGGCAAAACAAAAAACCCTGAACCAACCCCGCCCTCGTCAGCCAGCTTCTCGAACAATGTATTAGGACGATTGAGATCCATGCAATTGAAACTATGCAGACCAAAGAGACGGCTGATAATAACTACCCCAGTCATGCCGTGTCATATCGGTAGTTTTTCATCGTCCCACGACCGGCGGTATCACACGCAACGAACCTACACATCATGACCGGCCTAGCAGCCCTACTCCTCTTTGAATTGTCTCTGAGCCCCCTCAGCTCTACCCAAAATGTTTCTCGTACTTCTCCGCACTACCATTCTGAGTCCTTGCCGCCGAAACCAAATGTCGGAACCGCCTGTCCGGCCCACGACACATCATCAGGTGTGGAATGTCCCGAAGGAATCCTTCGGACACACGAAGGTCTGTACCTTTCGGGAGCACAAGCGGGCAATCACGGCCTTATCGCTGACCAAGGCACACCTCTTCTCCGCCTCAGACGAGGGTCACGTGAGGATCTGGAGCCTGGGCACGCTTTGCCTCCAGCGGGTACGCGACTCTATTCCATTTCTAGCTGTAGTCTAACCCTACGATATCGACGATGTCATTTTCGCGCGGATGTTTCCAGTAGAATAATGCGGACACGTGTTTCGTTTAAAAGTTTTTACCCAACGGGACATCCTTGTGGCGCGTGAGCCCATTGCTACGCAATCACTGACGGGGTTCCCGCTAAGGGTGGGAGGGGGGGGTGGAGATCCCCACTCGGCGCGCATCAGCACTTCTCCCCAGCAGCAGCCGCGTAAGATTGTTTTACGTTCGGGTCGTGTGCGTGCGTGCTGCGCCCATGGATGCCGACGGACATACCAATGACTGTTCATCCTTTGTTGTTGGGGTGCTACAAGAGATCGATGGCGTGAACCTTGGCTGTAAGACCGCCGTCAGCTAACGGGACCATCTCGTCTCCGCCAATTATTCGTTGTGTCGAAGACCGTGTCGTGTCGGTCAGAACTGCGGCGCGGATGGCATCACACGGTGCCCTCGTCGCCATGTCTATCATCTTTGTTTCGAACGCACGAACATACCCAGCCTAGGCCATTTCACCATGTGTCGTTTGCACGAATGTTGCTCTGTTGTAGGTTGTGAGGCAAGACAAGCGAATTAAATGCATCTGGGTCCACCATGCACCTCCGGATTCCCCCGACCCGGGCAACGGGAGCCTCTTTCTTGGACTGGCCACCGGACTGGTATTGGCCTATCCCATCACCGATGCCGTATGATACGCATCAAGCGACGGTGCATCTATCTTCGACTAAGCACCGTAGTGATGCCAGGAGTGTTTGTCAGTGGTAACGGACGGGCAATATGTGTCGCGTTGCCGGTGATTGAGGCCGAAATTGCTTCGCTAGCGCCGAACCGGCACAATTTCGGCCGCGCAATACCACCCGAGTGTGTTTTACTGGTGTCAGCACCGACGGCGCTAACCGGCTGGCTGTGTGTGTGCTCGCCCCATCTACATATATTCTGGCGCAAAGCATGTACACACTTCGATGTGAACGTGTCACATATCAGGCGAATCACACAGGGAAGTAACACACAAAGAGCTGCATAGATTTGCCGGTTCACTGACGGTGTTGCGCACACCGGGTTACAGGCAGTCCCACATTAGAGCAGCAACTAACCGTTCAGGTTTTGAATTCCCAGCACGGTTTCAATAGTTGTTTTGCCGCACTGCAGTCATTCTTCCACGACACCGACCGACATAATAAGCGAGTCGGCTGAAAGTTGAGGTTCAAGAAAAGTCGCGTAGCTGGGGTTTCTCGAATTCTTGGGGGAAACCCTGCGCGACGGCAAACGAAAATGGCGTCTCTGCCAAGATTGTTATCGGCGGCAGGCGAG